TAATATTGAGTTTTTTGTTTTTTATTGTTGAATATTAAGTGTTTGCATTTTTGAATAACGTTTACCGGCTATATGTTTAAAATTTTTTTAAACATTTATTTATTTTTGAGAGACAGAGAGAGACAGAGTATGAGTGGGGTAGGAGCAGAGAGAGAGGGAGACATAATCCAAAGCAGGCTCCAAGCTCTGAGCTGTCAGCACAGAGCTCGATGTGGGGCTCAAGCTCATAGACCACAAGATCATGACCTGAGCCAAAGTTGGATGCTTAACTGACTGAGCCACCTAGGCGCCCCATTACCAGCTATATGTTTTAGAAATATTTCTGTTTCCCAATTTGTGACTTGTCAGTTTCTTGACAGTATTTTTGCAGAGCAGAAGTACATTTTTTTTGACTCACTAATTTAGTAAAGCTTAAATTCTTTCTTTTATATGTTGTGCTATTGATATTGTATCTTAAAAATTGTTGCTATGCCCAAGGTCATCTAGGTTTTCTCCTATGTTATCTTCTAGGAGTTTTATTGTTTTACACTTAGGTTGATGGTTAATTTTGTGTAGAGTGCAAGGTCTATGTCTTGATTCGTTTTTTGGGGTTTTTTTTTTTTTTTTTTTTTTGCATGTTCAGTTGTCCCAATACCGTTTGCTGAAAGACAATCTTTGCTCCATAGTATTACCTTTGCTTCTTTGTCAGAGATTAGTTGACTATGTTTATGTGAGTCTATTCTGTGCTTTCTATTCTGTCCCATTGATTTACTTGTTTATTCTTTTGCCAGTGCCAGATTGTCTTGGTCATTGTAGCTCTATAATAAGTCTTCAAATCAGGTAGTTGAAGTTCTCCGACTTTGTTTTCTTTCAATATTATGTTGGATATTCTAGGTCTCTTGCTTTACCATATAGACTTTAGATTCATTTCGTCAGTATCCACAAATTAACTTAGGATTTTGATTGACATTTCATTGCAATCAAGTATGGAAGAAGTGACTTCTTAAAAATATTGAGTCTTCCTATTAATGAACAAGGATTATCTCTCCATTTATTTCATTCTTTTATTTATGTGATTTCTTTTATCAAGGTTTTATAGTTTTCCTCATATAGATCTTACGTATATTTTGTCAGGTTTGTACAAGTATTTAATTTTGGGGGAGCTAGTATAAATGGTATTGCATTTTAAATTTCAAATTCCACTTCATTGCTGGTATTAAATAAAAGCAGTTGACTTTTGTATATTAATCTTGTATCCTGCAACTTTGCAACTAATCACTTATTAGCTGAAGGAGATTTTTGGTTGATTTTTTTTTATTTTCCACAGAGACAATCATGCCATTTTTGAATAATGACAGGTTTTATTTCTTCCTTCCCAACCAGTGTAACTTCTTTCATTTCCTTTTCTTATCATGTTGCTAGGATTTTCAATACAATGTATAATAAAAGTGGTGAAAGAAGGTAACTTTTCTTTCTTCCCAATCCTAGTGGGAAAGCTTCCAGTTTTTCTTCTTAGTAGAATTTTCTTTATCTTTCTTCTGCCTGAGATTTGCTTTCATCAAATTTGGAAAAATATGGGGTCATTATTTGAAATTTTCTTTCTCTCCTGTCCTTCAGGGACCTACTTACTGAAAGATTAGGCCACTGAATGTTTCCCACAGTGCATTGATACTCTGTTCACTTTTTTTCAGTTTTTTTTATGTCAGTTTTTTATTTTGTATAGTTTCTATTAGTATATTTCACGTTCACTAATCTCTTCTTCTGTAGTATTTAATCTTTTGTTAATCCTATAATATTTCCCATTACAGACTGTTTTTTCCTCTGTAGAAATTCAATACATGTCTTTTTATAGTCATTTCTCTGTTAATGCTAATGTTTTCTTCTCCCTTCTCAAACACATGGAATAAGGTTTTAGTTATATTTTTAATATCCTTATCTACTTATTATAGCATCTGTATATCTGTATCATTATTGGCTTAGTTTCCATTGACTGATTTTTTTTTTCTTTTTTCTTTTTTAGGTTGTGGTTTACAGCTTATTTGGATGAATTTTATTTATTTATTTATTTATTTTTTGGATGAATTTTAAACAACAAGGAATATTTATATATACTTCTGAGAAGATTTTGTTCAGCTCAGGGCAATGAAATATATAGTATATATTTTATAAACATTGAATATTTCAGCATTAAAATGTCCTTTCATTATATAGAAATCCCATTTTTTCATACAATTTTTTTTCTCTTGGTCCAAGGAGATACAGTAGACTTTGAAGTCAAATATAATAAACTTCAAAAGATAATTTTACTAAAGTCTTAAGAAAATTAAGCAAGTTAACATACTTTTATGGGTTTTGATTCTCTCATATGTTAAATTAAGACTCAAATATGTTCTTCAAGAACATTTACAAACGTTAAATTAGATATGACTTTAAGGAACTTAATGTGATGTATAAAGCATTGACTATGATAAAAAAAAGTCCTTTTGGTAGATATCTTTCTGATGATTGTATACAAAAGAGACAATACCCATACACCTAAATATAATTTGGCAATATATTCAAATAATAACTTTATAATATTTTAATAAAATATGAGTAATGCTATCATTATTAAATCATTCATTATATTCTCCAAACCCATGAACTGAATATTTTGAGTAAATACATATGGATTCACTTAAAATGCCAAAATTCAATAATTAAGATGCCTCATTTCTATAATGTCATGCAATTAGATATTTATTAGTCCAGTTTTTAGACTAAATATTTCACCTAAATGCTTAGCATCATACAGACACAATTAGAGGAGAATACAGATATTCGTAGAGCACTTTAGATGATAATATGTTTTTATATAAAATAGATTAAAATGGGATAGTTGCAGCTTGAAAGCGAGAGATTTCATAATGTAGAAGATTGCTTTAGTAGTTAATTTGCTTTGTGTAATACGATTGGGTGTTAAAACACAAACTTTAAATAACTTTGAAGATAAAATTCCTAGAGACGTGTAATATGTAGTAAGAATTGCCTTGATATATATGATATATAAAAGTGATTTATAAAAATTGTGATTTATATATATATTCAAACTTATTTTATTTAACCAAACTTAACCTAATAACAGATTATTTTAAATAATGAAATCCAAGAAGAGTATAGTTAAGGACTTCTAATCGAGTTAAAAAGCATAATATTGATTACAGTGCAAATGTTTAACTTGTCTAATGGAACTATGATAATTAAATGCTGTTCTTGGTCAGAAATATCTGGAAAAAATTGCATACTTTTTAGAAATGGGTTGGCAGATTTCATTAGCTTACGGTTACATCATTGTAGGTAGTTCTTGACTAATTTTCTTTTTATCACATAGTTTTCTTCTTTAATTACCGAGAATCAGCCAATGTTTTTCCTAATGAAGAGTGTTATTTGGCTCACTTCAGAACTGTGCCACTTCTGAGAAGATTACATTAAACTTAAATGGTGTGAATTTGGAAAGTCATTTTGGTTTTAGGAATATCCTGTTTAAAGCAGTGTATCAGCAATGGGGATTAGAGTACACTTATCATGATGATCGCAGAGTAATGTATGGAACTGCTGAATCACTCTATCGTGCACCTGAACCTAAAAAAAATAGTGTATTACATATATATCGAGGATGTACTTAGAAGTAACCTTGCCCAGTCATAGGCATATGTATGTTTAGCCTTAATAAATATTGTCCAGCAAGTTTCCAAAAGAAAAAAAAAATGGGGTTCACTTTGGAAAGTTGTCCATTTCTGCTAAAGCTGAACATATTCAATCATTGTGACCCAATACATATACACCTGGGATTCAAATATGCACCAGAAGACAGGCAAAGAATATTTATGGAAGCATTGTCCAATGGATTAGCTAAAACTATAAAGAATCTAAATGTCATCATTAGAAGGGATATATACAGTGGGTATATTTATACTGGAGTACTATGCAAGAATGAAAAAATGCTACACACAAAATCATGAGTGGGTCTCACAGATATAATGTTGACTGAAAGAAACTGGACACAAGATTAAATACTTACTGGTTCCACTTATAGGATACTCAAAAGCAGCAAACTAATCTTCGATGATAAAAAGCAGAATAAATAGTGGTTATTTCAAGGGATAGCAGCTAGATTGTCGACTCTGAATGGTGGTTAGATTAAGCTGTACATTGAAGAACTGTGTACTTTGTGCATGCTACATTTCAATAAAGATGTTTAAAACTAATATGCCAGCTGTTGGAGAGAGTTTCCATTTTTAGGGTGAGAAAAATGGATGAAGGAAGAAGAGCGGGGAGGGAATTCCATTCATTTACTCTCTCCTTTTCCTTCCATCTTCTAACTTCAGTGTTACAGTGCCAGGGCCTTGCCAGCTCAGCCCCTGAATTCCGAGGGTCGCAAACTGGGGCTCCTCCCGCTTGGAGGCGGGCAAGGATGTAACTATGTAGGGGCGCAGAATGAGAGAGAGGACTCAGATCCCCTCCAATTCCACACCTTACAGCAGGAACTGCAGAAACAAGAGCAAAGCTGTGGAAAGAGCAAAGTGCCCCCCCTCCTCCCCACCCCCAGCACCCGGGGGTTCACCTGCGGATCGCTGGGCAAGGACAAAATGACTTCTTCCCCCGCGAACTGTCTGGCAGGCATTTTTATTAATTTCAGAGGGAAACGTCTTTGTTCACAAAAGAACTATTTCCGCTAGCTATAGACGAGAACAAACCATTGAAGACTGGAACGAAGACGCAATTGCTTTGCCTTTTTTTTTTTTTTTTTTCAATCGGGAGCCAGCAGGAGCCATGTGCCCCTTTCAGAAGTGAAGCCCCAGCGCGTGGACAGACTCCTCACCAAGGCCGGATCCTCTTAAGACGCTGCAGTGTGACTCGCTGTCCCCAGACAGTAAACTTGTCCCCGTGAGAGGGAAACGGATAACGTCCAAGTGAGTGTTGCACTTTTCAGGGCACCTGGGCGCATGAAAACCCCAGCGCACCTTCCTGGAAAGGAGAACATGCCCCCCAAGTCTCTGTGCAACCTCTCCCAGCCCGCGGGCGCGAATCAGAGCGGCTTCGTTCCCGGGGTGTCCGAGAGGGACTTGCTGGCCGCCGCCGACGGGGCGAGCGCCAAGTTCGCGATCCGCTGCGCGATCCCGTCTCTCTACCTGCTCATCATCACGGTGGGCTTGCTAGGCAACATCATGCTGGTGAAGATCTTCATCACCAACAGCGCCATGAGGAGCGCCCCCAACATCTTCATCTCTAACCTGGCCGCCGGGGACTTGCTGCTGCTGCTCACCTGCGTCCTGGTGGACGCCTCCCGCTACTTCTTTGACGAGTGGATGTTCGGGAAGGTGGGGTGCAAACTGATCCCGGTCTTCCAGCTCACCTCGGTGGGGGTTTCCGTGTTCACACTCACCGCCCTCAGCGCCGACAGGTAAGGGCTCAGGTAGAGGTGGGGCGGCCTGGAAAAGCGGTGGAGAGGAGCAAGGGTGTCTCTGGGGGTGGGGGTGGGGGGTAAAGGGAGAAAGGAAAGCCCGAGCATGAGCAAGGACAGAGGAAGAGAGAAGGTATCTGGGAATTGGAGTAAAAGGAGTTAAAAAGGACTGTGAGCTTGGAAGCTTGAAAAAATATATAAGAAAATTATTACTTTAAAAATAATTAACATTGTGTTAGTTTGAAAGTAGTTTTAAAATTGCAGAGCCTAGTCTCCTTCCTGCCCCGCACACACTCTGAAAATCTTTATTGTCTATTTCATAGAAAAGCTGTAGGATAATTGGGCAGCAGCACACGTAGCATGTAGAAGCTTTTTGAGTGGGCTAAAATCTTAGAATTGCACTTTTCCTTAGTCTTTTAATAACCTGAAGGTAAGAATGTCTGACTTAATATTAGGGAAGGGTTTGATTTTGAGTTTTTTTCAAATATGGGGGAACATCATTTATACTCATTAACTAAATTGTTATTTATTTAAGTCAAACAACTACAATAGTAAATGCTCTTCAGACAGATGACTACACATTCTTGCTTTAATACCTCGAGTTAAGGGATCCCCTCCCCCGCAAACAGGTAGGTACTGAATTTTAGTATCTTAAAATGATGCTTTAAAAATACTCATTTGATATCAAATCTGCTTTCACAAATTTTAAAGATCGGACGTGTCTATTATTTTACCTTGCAGATCAACTAAGTTCAACTATGTCATTTTCTAGGTATTGAGGTAAGATATTGAGGCCCAGGGAAAGTAAGTCTGGCAGAGCAGGGAGGAGAACCCAGGTCTGCTGACTGCTGGTCCGTGCCTCTACCTCACTGTCTCAGTCATCATGCTCGCATTTAAGCAGGGGAAATGTCTGGATGGGGGTGGGGACAATTGTCATCTTAGGCAATTGCGAATGGAGCCGTGGTTTAATTTCCTTCAGGATGGGGTGTTGACTTAAGCTATTTAAATAAACAGTTGAACTCGGATGATTAAGGTAGTGTTTACGATCCTCTTCTTCAATTTACATGTTATTAGTGGAAAATGACTCCATCTAAATGTCCTGGTATTTGTGACAATGCCCTTCCATCACTTTGGCATTGAAGAGTTAATCTTCATTGAAGGAAAGACAATACTCACTGGAGAGTTGAGAGCTTCTGTCTTTTTAAACCAAATATTATTGAGTTTTTAGTTTGTGCCATATTCTTTCTAAAACCACATTCCTATAAAAATGAGTGCCTTTGGGTAAAGGTAAACTTGATTTTTGTTAATATGACACTATTTCTATTACCTTTCATAAATATTTTTGAACCCTGTAATTAAAATACAACTTTTTAGTTTAGCTGCCCCCTTTATAGGAACCATTTTAATTAGAAAGTTAAAAAAATTCTACTTAATGATTAGAATAAAAGGTAATGAATATCTATGACTACAATAGTTAAAATTACTATCATTGTGCTTATATTTCTACTAGTAAGTAGCAAGATCCAGGGCTTGAATTTATTTTATGAGATTTTTCTCAATCTATTGTCATGGAGACCCACAGGTAAATTGGTTCTCACCAAGGTTAGAGAACATGCTATTACTCATGTATTTATTGGCTTTTTTGGTTGGTTATATATATCATGTACTTTGTAAATGCTACATGGATACTTTAATAATGAGGATAAAGGAAGGTGGGTTGCCTCTTCTACTTGGTCTAGCTTCTACTTGTGCCTATCAATGTGTGTTTTGGAACTATAAATGAAGGATCTGGAATCATTGGTGATGAAATTACCCAATACATCCTAATAGTCAATTAAGCAGTTTGGAAATGTTTTGCTATATATTGTCTTCATTTCTCTTTTTCTTCCAGAACATAGTGATCAAGTGTTGCTAAGTATTTGATTTCCCCACATTTTATCTCACCAAAGGTTTGGATATACTGTGAATCTGGAAACAGGTAGAAGACTAATTGTCCTTAACACTGTGCTTTTTTCTGTGTGTGAGTTTATTACCTTCACAATACTATGAAGTACACACTATTATCATTACTATTTTAAAGTGAAGAAATGTAAGTCTTGAAATTAAGCAACGTTTTCATGAACTCACAGTGATAGAGCTGGCATTTGAGCTCAGTTCAAAGCCCATATTCTTTACCATTAAGCCACATTATTATTTTTACAGGTCTAAGAAATTATTAATGATTTTTCCTATTTAATGATAGACTGAAAAATTCAATTTAAAGCAAAGCACCCAAGAGTACAAAAGGAAAAATGATCTCAAAAGTTGATTCATTAGATTCAACAAAAGAAAAGAACATCATAAAAATTCAAAATTAAGTAGTAGTGATAGCAATAGGAAACTTTTTAAGCAACAAATTCAATTGTTCATTAAACCAAATACCCTATCTTCACTAGGTGGCTTAAATGCCTTTGCTGAAGAAAATAAAGATAGAGAGTATAGAAGTAGAGATCACAGTAATATAGAAAAAGAAACAGGAAGATCATTTTTTTTCAGAAAGCACATTCCAGTGTGAGGTGGACTTCAGTGTTATAGAGCACTGGTGGCAGCATCCGTAGAGAGCAGAGACTGAAATAAGAAATATAATATTTATGAATCTACCTTGGGGCTTAAATCACCTTGTTCGATATGACCAAAGGGTTGTGTGGGTGACACTTTTGGTTTTTGAGATTATTATTCCTTGACTTTCGGAGGTTTCTTGAGAAGTTTCAACAGATAACATGCTTAGGAAAGGTCATTTGTGTCCTCTGTAGTGGTGCCTCAGAGGCATTTCATACCTCAAGGTGGGAAGGAGACATAGGGCCCAATCGGAGATGGTGAGTGTGCGGATTTTAGTTTATTTTCTACTTTTATCTTGATGATTTTTTTATATTTTGAAAATGTACTTGCTTGCTTGCCAATAGGAAATAGCTGATTAAAGGTATGTGCATATTCTCTGTGGTATCATGTTAACAGTTTCACACACACACACACGCACACGCACACACACACACGTGCTGTGATACTGAGCAAGCGGAGTCCCATAAACATATTTTGTTTATGGTTGGCTTACAGAGATCTCCTTCAATATCTATTACAGTGGCTTCACTTCCAAACTTAGGATATAATTTCTTTGATTCATGAAGACATTTTGACCTCTATAAGCCCTTAATTAAAATGCAAATAACTTTTAAGAATGAGTTCTCCTCTTTCCTTCATAGGAAAAATTTCCCCGATTTCCTAGTGCTGAACTATAAACTTTATAATTTTATGCATTTATAAATGTAAAACTAGATATTTTCTTTTTAAAATATAACTGAACTAAAATGCATTTATAAATTAAATATTAACAACCTGTAAAATAATAAAAATGCAATTAATATTAATTTAATGTATCCTTAACTTAATGTTGTTTTTCTGGTATCGAATAACCGATTTTGGATTGAATGCAAACGTAATTTTTCACCAAATCTAACTAAAGTGCTAATATATTAATGATTTCAAGCTTTTCTTAGCTAGTTAGGATAATCAGATTTAATTCCATAACTGAGCTGGTTCTGTTAGGTATGAACCTTGAATCATCAACATTATTTGGATATTATACCAATGCAAACAGATATGCTCTTCAATATAATTATTTGTTAAAATATTGAATCAGATCAAATGTAGGCCCTGGATCTAACACTCCCTAGGCCTTCAGAAGCATTTTTATGAGTCTTAGCCCAGTGATGGGAGGGAAAGCCATAATTTGTTTTCTGGGTTTTTACCAAAACTCCTGACTGAAGCTCAGGTACTGAGTAACCAGCTGGCCCCACTGGAGACGCTTTCTTCTTTGGTCTGGAGCCCTGGATAGTATATTCAGAAGCCCTTACTTCTCGGTGCTGAGATTAGCACTTAGAGTGTGTTTCTAAACTCTTTAGGGGGAGTTCAGACCAGCCATACCTACCTAAGAGAATCCGCCACACTCACCCTACAGATAACGCATTTTACCAGAGCAAGGACTTTTTTTATTTTCAACTTGTTCTGAAAGAAAGTAAGGGAACTTAAAAATAAAGACACATACAACATACAACAGATATAAAAAAGGGAGGAAAGCCGGGTAGAGGAAAAATAAAAGTTGAAGAGTATAAGGTAATCTATACTGTCACAAATGTGAGTCACATGTTTGTGAACTTTCTATCTGCCAGTGTAAAAAAGAAAATTTTTATAAATGAAGTGCTCAGTTGTTAGTTTTATGTAGTCATAAAACAGAACAAATTGTAGCCAGCACTAATTTATCAGTTTTTAATTTGAATTTATCTGGGTATTTTTTTTTTTGTTAAATAAAAGTTGCTATATTTGACTCCAATAAGTCAGATATCTTTTATTCATCAGTCTCAAATGCTTCTCGCTTATGTCCTTTCTCCTTCTCTTTAGAAGGGATCTGAGAGGTTGGACAGGCTGTATAATTCTCACAATATTCATACTATTGCCATAATTTGTGGACTACTTTATAGTTTTTGAAGATTATTCATCCACCTTGGTCTGAAAGTTTTGGGACACACTGTAACTAAGGAGGGATGCCCTGGGCATGTGGGTACCAATCCTGTATCTGTTAGGTTCAAATGTTCTAGTTGGAGAAGATGATAAAATAGTGTAAAACACATGCTCAAATGAGTATTTTCCTCATTTGCAAAATAAGAATAATGTCTTCAACTGTAGAGCTGAGGGACTGTAGATAGGATCCTATTATTTCCCTCTCCGAGTATTGAGTGGAGAAGGACCCACAGGGGAGAAGGGACACTAGTATTGGTGGGGCAGCTGAATGGTGTGTTGTCTCTGGGGCTCTATCACTGCCCTCTATGTTGCAACAAGTCTTTCGGTTAATCACTTTTGCTGATTCTATTTGGTCCACTTCTCAGAGGAAACACTTTCTAAGGCGCACTTGTCAGTCTTTCGCCTGTGGTGGTGCATTTAAATAGGGCGCCATCTGCTCTGGCTGA